CTTGCACCTGAAACACTGTGCACTTTAGAAGGGCCCCAAACATAAGAATGGATAAGAGAAATAGGTTCCTTGCTTTTAATAGTGCTAGAAGGAAATGACACTCGATGGTGTTTTGCAAATTCACAAACATCACAATGAAAGGTCTCAACCGACTTATTGAGAAACAGAGAGGGGAACATAGACTTCAAAAGACTAAATGGTGGATGCCCCAGACGCTTGTGATGGAGCCAAATCATAGACTCTGCAGTAGAAGGATGACGTGTGATTAATAACTGATTTTTGCTAGCATGGTCTGGAAGGAGATGATACAACCCATCCTGTTCATTAGCAACTCCAATTGTCTTCTTCGTGGTAAGATCCTGAATAACACAATGAGAAGGAAAAAATGTGATAGAACAATTCAAATCAGTTGTAAGTTTTTGAGTGGAGATAAGATTAGTAGAAAGCTGAGGAACATAAAGGACATTCTTAAGAAACAAGAAAGGTTGAATTTGAATGTTACCAGAACCAATAACTGATTTATGGGATCCATCAGCTACGGATATAGTATGACTACCAACAGTAGGGTGATAAGAACAAAACAACTCCGTACGACAAGCCATATGATCAGTTGCACCAGAATCCAAAATCCATGAGGTTTTAAAATCAGTGCAAGAAGCAAGAAGAGATGTAGAACGTGTGTTCTTACCAGATAAGATCAAAGAACGGTCATATGGCTTACACATATTATCAATAGCGGGTTTAAGCTGATCCATGGAGAGGAGACAAAAAAACAAGCAGGAAATTTTTATTTTTTTTTGTGAACAGTACCCGATGAACAGTACCGCGTTTTTTTTTTTTTTGAGCTGTTCCGGTCGTCTGATGAAAAAGAAACCTCCGTAGAATGATAGATTTAAGAAAACGGAGTGAAACAGGGGTCCTCACGGTCCAAAAGGTCCCCGAATTTTTTTTTTTCCGGCTGCGGCTTTGTGGCAGCGAGAGGCAAATAGGGTTGGTTTTTAAAGATGGTGATTTGCGGAAGCAGAACCCTCAGAATCGAGAGCTCTGATACCAACTTGAAGAAGGTATATATTATAGAATTGTGTAAATACTTTGTACAAAGGTTCTCTATTGATAGAGAATACAAGACCTAGAATACTTGACCTAATGGGCTAAGCCCAATACAACAAATAATAAATAAATAAATTATATTAATATTTACAACAAAAGTCATAATTGTACCAAGCATGCAACTTCTAACTGGTGATGATTCATGAATTTCTATGTGGTTATCATTCTGACTTGAACATTTTATTTTCCAACCAGAAATCATTAAGCACATATATAAGAAGATATCAAGCCCAAAATGCAAGGACAGAAGATCTATGGAATGTTCTTACAGAGGTATCTGGTGTGCCGGTCAACTCAATGATGAACACTTGGACAAAGAAGACAGGATATCCAGTTATTCATGTTCAATTAATAGATTATGTTTTGGAATTCAAACAGGTATTATTGAGTTACAACCAAAACTAACATGAACCACTTAGTTTGACAATGCTTTTTAACTTTTGTCTTTGAGCATAACTGTTACTGATGTAGCATTTGGATTTGCAGTCGCAGTTCCTTTTATCTGGTCTGCATGTTGATGGACAGTGGATTGTTCCCATAACCTTGGCTATTGGTTCATACCAAGCACAGAAGAAATTTCTTTTGGATACAAGCCATGAAAGGGTGGACATATCTGAACTGGTTCAATCTATTGGTGATGATTTAAACTCAATCAAAAAGAAGTACGAAGAGGATAATCAAGAAAATCTATGGATCAAAGTCAATGTTGATCAGTGTGGTTTTTATAGGGTAAACTATGAAGACAGACTAGCAGTTCGACTGAGGAAAGCCATACAAAACAATTTCTTACTGCCTACTGATAAATTTGGTGTGTACAAAGTGCTAGTGATCTATCAGTAGAAACCTATGATGCAGCATTTTTTTAGGCATGTTATACTTAAGAGGATACTATGTAGGTGTAATAAGTGATCACTGCATGATTGGCAATGAAAATGAAAGGTTTAAGACCACAGGAATGTTTGGTACAAAGTTGTGAAGAAAATTTGTCTTGATTTTATAGATTTCTTACATCAAATTATCAATTACAAGAAAAATTGTCTCGGGTGGATTTGGACTGCTATTCTTTTAAGGCATTGGAGGCATGTTTCAGTTAGTTCTGTGTACCTGCTGGTATACGGTTCCTCTTGATCTTAAAAGGAGGTGACGATTCATATAAATCCTTATTAATTTTACAGGAATTTTGGATGATGGAAATGCTCTTTGCCAGGCTTGTGAACAGTCACTGTCATCTTTGCTTATGTTGATGGATGTTTATAGAAAAGAGTTTGATTATGTTATTGTATCAAAACTGATTGATGTAAGTATAAGTTCTCTCTTCTACTTTTTCTAGAAACATCAGCATCTATCCATGGGAGCATGATTTCAGAATTCATTTATATGGCAGGTTTGTTATAAAGTTCTGAAAATCTCAATTGATGCCATTCCAGATTTAGTAAATGAGTTGAAGCAATATTTTATCAGCCTTCTCATGTTTTCTGCAGAGTAAGGACTAAACTTTACATTTTTGGTAGGGTTGCTGCGTTCTTCCCTCAAAATAATACACCTTGGTTGAACTTTTCCTTTGGGTGAATATTTCCATTGATAGGGAAATTCTGTCAGGTTCAGAGCATGTAGGTGCTGTGTCCATAGGAATTGTGCACTTGTAGAATCAATATTAGTCTAAGAGGGTACAAATATTTCAAATTGGAGAACTTCATCTGCATGATGTTCTGCATCCAACTTGATATCATGTATTCATTTATTCTATATATCTATATTCTGAATATTTCATTGGAATCCATTTCTTTTAGAGTCAGTTGCCTGCTCTAGAAGGAAAATGACATACCAGCGTACTGTTTGTGCAGAAAGTTAGGTTGGGATTCTATATCTGGAGAAGAGCATTCCATTTCACTCATGAGGGGAGAAGTTTTTCAGGCCTTGGCTACCTTCGATCATGATAAAACTCAGCAAGAAGCATTACGCCGCTTTCAGATTCTGTTGGATGACAGAAATACTTCTCTGCTTTTAGCCAACACTAGAAGGGTAACATTCATTTTTTGTCAAGATTATTGTGCCATTGGTTTGATTCTATTTATTTTTGACGTGTGGATGTGCAAAGTACTTTTCAGGCAGCTTATGTAGCTAAAATGAGGAATACTACCACTAAAAGTAGGACTGGATTGGAGTCCCTATTGAGTTTCTATAGGAGTACTGATGTATTGCAAGAAAGGGAAAGTATGTTGCGTAAGAAAATGACATTTAAACTAATTGCAACTTCTGGAACTCCATAATATCCATTACATTGTTGGTTAAAGCGCTTAGTTACTTGATTAAATATGTGTTATGAACTCATGCAGGTTGTATTGCATCAAGTTCAGACCCAGATGTAGTTCTAGAGGCTCTGAATCTTTTGTTGTCTGATGAGGTATTATAATTTTCTTATGCAATTTCTGGCTATAAGCAGCTGAAATTCCTTCTTGTTTGACCTTCATTTATCTAAATTATTTTTAGATTAGAGATCAAGATATAGTTTATGTACTAGCGGGAATAAGCTTAGAAGGCAGTGAAATTGCTTGGAGATGGTTGAAGGTATGTGTCTCCGTGGTAACATTTTCTTAGTCGCTCTTGTTTTGTTGTTACCATATTTGAACTGTGGGAAAATAAGTAACAGCGATAAGTACGTAAAATCTAGCTTATAATGTCTTTTGAAAAGGATTAAGGGAAACAGTTCTGATATTCATCTAAAACTAGTGGGTATCTATTTTGATTTTATGGACTCATTTTGGTTTGATACCAAATGCAGGATAATTGGGAAAGAATCTTGGCCAAATATGGTGCTGGACTTTTACTTACAAATTTCATAAGCCAAATAGTTCCACTGGTAAGCAAATGGTACAGAAAAATGCTATATTAGTGGATTAATTACTGTAATGTCAGCTTCCTTCAATTTAGGCACGACAATATGTGTCAAATGTGGGTTCTGATGAATTGGTCAGCGTAACCACAACAATTTATGAGTCAAATGAGATTTTGTGGCAGCCTATGATTTTGTGTGGTTGTTGGCTTTGATATCCTCAAGTGATGGCATGTGAGAAATGAGAAAATTAAGATTATAGTATATGACGCCAATTCCAATGCAATCAATGTAATGAATGAGACGTGATAGTATCTCTGCTAAGCGTTCAAAGTCGAAACCTCTCATTGCTTGAATTTCATGATCTGGCAGGTTAACAGCAACGAGAAAGCAGATGAGATAGAAGAATTTTTTTCCTGTCGCATGAACCCTTCAATCGTTATGAACTTGAAGTTAAGCATTGAGCAGATCCGTGTCAAAGCAAGGTGGATTCAGAGTGTAAAGCAAGAGCACTCTCTTTCAGACTTAATCAAACAATTAGCTGAGAGGAAATGATAGCTTTGACAGCTGTTTCCTCTTAAGCAAATCTTTAAAACAAATAGTTTCCAGTAAGCTATCTGTTCTGCCTCTAATGCATTGAGTAATTTCCAGTTTGGGAACAGTTGGGTCAGACCAAAAAATCTACCAATATATATACCTTAAAGTTTGTATCATCCTCGTTTGAATGAACTAAGTACTTGTATACTTCCTTGTTATATTTGTAAAATGCAAGTCTATTCATTGGATAAATTTTAGTTTATTGTTTAATTTGCAGCAAATTTCTAGTAAAGCAACATTCTTCCAAGTTGCATTCACCCGCGACCTGCAATTGTCAATAGTAATACAGTGAGTTACAAATTGAAATATGTAATTGTCCATTGATTACTTAAATACATTCAAAATCTTAAGTGCCAACACCAAATATAGCCACTTCAAATGCACATGTACACCCCCTCCTCCCCCAGCCCCCACCCAAAATACAGAAAGGAAGAGTCTGCCCATTCCTCTATATGAATTCGAAGTCTATGTATGAGTCTGAACATTCACTTTAAGAAGAACTGTGTAAAAAAGATCAATCAAAACAATTTAGATAAAGTAAATATCAGCTTTGTAACTTCAACTAAGTCTAGTTTCTTTAATGGTTTCTGGGTTTGTTGAAGGGCCTAGATTGGACCTCCCTATCCCCTGCTTCAACTTCATGGAGTTGATCTTCTCCATCCTTAAACCAGCTCTGAAGCTCTCAATAAAGGTGTGAGCTTTGGAATCAACATCAGGGCTGAGACAGAACAATGAGGTTCCAGTTGCAGGCTCTTCACCATCTTCTTGACTGGTTGGTGAGTCCACAACTTCATCTAAATCTGGGGACCCACTCCGTGAACTGCCAAAGCTATCAACCCTAACAAAGTCACCCTGTACCCGGAACCTCCACGCCGGCATATTGAATGGAGGCAGTGGCGGCGGCGGAGGTATTGGGATCAATGGTGACTCATTACCACTGATCATCGCATTATCTTCCAATCTATGGGATGAATGCTCTCTTTTGTTTGATAAGCGGGGTTTATGGGTTGCCACAGGAACAAGGTGGTGTTTCTTGAGCTTGCTTTTCTTGGAAGAGAACATGTCATGGAAAACTGAAGAAGGTGGCTGCGGCGGCGGAGATGGCGGAGGCTTTGGTTCAGAATTTAGAATGCTCTCAAAATTTTCAACACTTCTCTGTCTTTGTTTCTTCTTCCCTCTCAAAGATGTCAAGAACTCTTTTGTTGCAATCCCTCTTTTCTTCTTACCCTGCATTGCCTTCCTCTCCGCCTGTAGCGGTGGCGGCTGCGGCGGCGCCGGTGGCGATTGTGAATTTTCGGCAACCAAATCATTACTTTCCATTTCCACTTGAAGTATTCGTTTGGCATTTACTCGGACACTTTTCGTTCGCGTAGCAGGCGACGGCGGAGACGGAGATCTTAGTGGTTGCGGCTCCGGTTCCTGCGGCGGCGGTTGTGAATTCTCGGCAACCAAATCATTACTTTCCGGTTTCTCAATCATTTCCGCTTGAAATGGTTGCTTGCCATTTCGTCGAACACCTTTCGTTCGCGTAGCAGGAGGCGGCGGAGACTGAGAACTCAACGGTTGAGGCGGCGGCGGCGGCGCAGCGTCAACTTCGCCAGAAGTGACCGTAGCTACATTCTCGAAACCCATTTCTTCTTCTTCGTCAGCATCCGATCTCGGCGGCCGGTGACGGAGGAAGAGACCGGTATCGTCGTAAAACCGGGATCGTTCACCGGCATCGACCCACGACGAGTCATGTTGCCGGAGATCCGGGTAGGAGTTGAAGCTCCTCAACCTATTGAACGATCGATCCGAGTTCTCGTAGCCGTACCCATACCATGGTGGTGGGGTTGTTGCATTATTGTTCGAGAAGCTTCTTCGACGTTGTTGGTAGTAACGTGGTGTGGTGTTGGTTTCGTTGGTGTTGTTCTTGCTGAGGAAGCCGCAAACGATGGCGAAGAGAACGAGTACGAGGTTGAGGGAGTCCCAACTCCTCTTCACAGTGTGGGGTTTGAAGATGTTGGAAGCGAATGAGTACAACGTTGGAACTACGACAAATGCGAATGCGAGTGCAATGACGAGGAGAAGTAAAAGGAGGGAAGTTGAGGTTAGAAACAGCGAGTACAAGCGGCGGAGACGGCGGCGGTTGCGGTGGTCAGTTTCACCGTTCAGAACCCAAAAGGGTTCTTCTTCCATTTGGTGTTTGTTTTTTTTTGTTTTTTTACTACTATGGTTTGGGTGTGCCTGTTTTCTTAGGGTGGGTGGAAGAAAATGAATCTTGAGGCACTTTTGCTTTGTGGGTTGGTTTGGTTAGTGTTGTGTTTTATTATTAGTGAGATTGGTGGGGCCAGGAATGTGAAAACGAGTACATCGTAAACTGTTGGCAATTTGGTCTTAGCTGTCTTTTACAATGAAGAGAATGTTGGGAAACCATGTGCATTTTGAAATAAAAGGTTTTTAATGAGCTAGACTTGACTCTAGCCCCTAGGGATTGAAGGCATGAAAATTAACCACGAGTCATAATCATTGGCCTAAATTAATCAATGTCTTCACTGTGTTAATTATCCATTAAGCTCATATAAATATTTTCATGCATGGAAATTGACGCCAAAAGCTAGGCGTTTGGTACAAGTAAATTTTTTTTTTTATCAGAGAAATGTGATTACTAGAATCAGTAGAAAAAATGAGTTAGATATAAAAGTTAAAAAAAGTTGTTTGGTTGGGCAAAATATTACTGAAAAAATTGAGTGAAATTCTTGAATCTATATTTGGTTGAAAATAAAATATTGACGGGAAACCAGACTGAAATTACAAAATAACCTTTTACAAAATAATCCTAGTGAAAAAATTGAAGTAATTAAAGGGTAGTTTTGATATCTCTCATATTCACCTTTTTCACTTACCTAACTATCACTCAAATACCACCCTTCAAGTAGGATTTGAGCACCATGTTTTTGGTCCAATTTTGCATACAAAGTTCAATTGCTAGGCAAATGAGTTAGCTAGATATCCTCTACCAAAGATGGACAAGCCAATTACCCACTTCCAAATGCCTAACAATATTTCAAGATGCCATCTACCAAACACCCCCTAACACGTTATTTACTACCACATGTAGCTGGTTTTAAGCATCTAACATTTTACTTAGCTATTTGCATTAATAGACAAGCAATACGAAAGGTGAACAGAGCTTCTAGGCGGGGATGAATTATGAAAGCGCGTTATGCGATGATTGTTTGAAGTCCTTATCAACGGCTTGTGAGTTTTGTTGTTTATGCTAAAGCAAACCCGCGTAACATAAAACTAATCAGGAATGCTATTTGGCACCAAAAGCAATTCGAACTGTTTTCACCTTTTTTTTTTTAAGGAAAATGTGAGTGTTATATTACATGACACATCTTATGTCATGTTATAGACACACAAAAATATGAGTCTACTAAAAAATATTGAAAAAAAAATAAAGATGAGAATTTTATTGAAAAAATAAAAATAAAGATGCGGGTTTCAATTCCATTTTTTGATGTTTTATATTATGTAATATGATACTTATATTTTTTTTCTCTTTAATAGAGATATGTTATTTAGTACCATAATTTTTATACGAATTTTGTATGATTCCAGCTGGCTAGTGAAAGATGGAAATTAGGATAGATAAAAAGTGTACGTGGCAGTTATGGAACCAAATGCTCAATTAAAATCATGTGTTATATTTTTGGGAAGAATTTAAATATTTTTATCCCTGATTCGTTTTCACATTTTAGATTAGTCTCAAGTTAAAGAATCAAAATTTGTGAAAATAATGAGAGAAATCAACTCGCTTCAAAAAAATAATTAGAATTAAATTAACTCCAAAAAAGAGTTTCATTCATACCAAAGGGCATTTTCCTTTCTAGAATTAAAAACTGAAAGAAAACCATTTAAACTGTAGCCCACCCTATTCGTGTATTTTACAAGATTAGATACAGTTCATTGCCTTAGCCAAAATTATGTATTCAGGCCGTATGTACTGTGATGTAAGCATATTCTCTTTCCTACAACAAAACATTGAACTTTGAACTTTGTCCATATTAAGTTGTTGGCTACAACAATATAGCGAATGCCTTTGTACTAAAAAATAAAACAAAAAATATAGCGAATGCCTAGTTGTAGAAGATGCGGGAGTTTTAAGGAGCTCAATGTTTTTTACTTCTCCAAATTAAAAAAAAAATAAATAAATAATGAAAGGAGTCCTTGTAAATTAAAAAGTTATGCTTTAAATAATAAAAAATATATATTGTGCTTTGGAAAGAATTCATGTTGCTTCACATATTTTAGAAGATTAGTAAATCACAAATAGCTAAAATTGAATTGCACTGAAAAGGTTGTCTTTAGCATAAACTTGCAAAACATAATGACCGCACGTTAAAACATGAAATATTTTGAAGCATAATGCTCCTAAAATATATGAAGTATCACAAGAAACCTCCAAATTTTTTTAGGGTGGATCTTTTAACCTTTATATGACCAAAACACAAACACTTGCCCCCTCAAAGAAAAAAAAAATACACGCAAATAAAAACTAAGGGATTTATTATTCTTATGTCACATAAGGTAGAATTTATCTCCTACACACACAAATTCAAGATGGGTCCCACTTTATTCTTTTTCTCTCTCCTCCTGAAAGTGGACCCCACCTGCACATATGAGTCTGTAGGAGATAATATTTATCTCCTACTACATGAGAAAACTATTACCCAAAAACTAATTTGTTCAACATTGGTGCCTTTTTCTTCTCCTTTCACTTTCTTTTACCTACTAGTTTTATTTTTTGTTCTTTTTTTCTCCCCATTTTATAACTTTGAGAGACACAAGGCACCGGTCCAACCCAAAAAGATGAAGGGTGACAGAAAGTGCCCTTTTTATTTTGCCATTGCAACTTTATTTGGATCTAATTTGCTGGTGCCACCAAGGAATCTAAAAAGGAGGCTATAGGGCTGCAGTTTTATGCTTGGTCATAGACTCGCAAGCAGTTGTTTACCCAAAAAACAAAAAAAGATTCGTATGCAAGATTGAAACTTAAAAAGAGAGCAGCAAAGAGCACATAAAGCCAAGGAGCTTTCTGATGGTTAGGTAACACCAGCAGTATATTTTCTTTTACTTTTTTTTCTAACAAATGCATGATTGCAACTAATTACCAGTCCCAATATACTTACATGCATACCAAAATAAGTTAATGAGAATAAACAACCTTTGATAAAACCTGAGTTACATCATCCTTGTGTATACACATGTAATAAGGGAACAGATACAGCTCTATGTCCACATAATGGAACTAGCTTTGGTACCTTCATTTTTCCAATGGCCAAAACCAGATATTAGAAATGATTCCCCCCATCCCCCAAAACTCACAAAAAAAAATTACAAGAAAATAACAAATATTGTTATCAGCACAGCAATTGTGAAAACTAGAGCCTGCAACACCAAAAAAATTTAATAAAAAGAAAGAAAGAACAGTCTATAGTTCTTTAAGCAAATAAGGCAAATGAATCAACAGAATGTACTGCATAATAAAAAGTAATTTTGTTCTTAAGCACAACACTTACAGCAATTGCAGAAGCAGCAAGTCCTGCACGCTCTCTTGGATCCTTACGATAGTAATTTCCGAAGTAGAGAACTGTAGCATAATACCACAACAGTGGGCATACAAATCCTAGCAGAAGACTAGCAAGAAATGGAGAGAGGAAGATAAGACGCAAACTTCAAACTATGCAGGCTAAAGAAATTGAGAAAGAGTATATCTGTACAAAATAACTCACGAGAACCATCCAATTCCACACCCAAAACATGGAAGTGGCTTGTCAAATTTTCCCAATTGTTGGTCCTCAGAATCCTTGATAAGAGCATAGTCACCGTTACTTTGGTCAGTTGTATCCATCTAGAGCCCTATGTATATTAAACTCAACTTCAGTTCATTTTTTCTCATACATATAAGATGCATAATTGCATATATACGTGTTTTCTTTACAAAAAGGCCTTGGCAACAGAGCATGGATTTTATCATAATCCTCATAGGAGGTCGAAATAAATTGAAAAAAGTAACTATAATGACTAGTATTGAAATATAATACGAATAGTACCTACATCTCATTCCATGAAAAATCTCCAACTACAATGAGAACTTGCTACTCTAATACACACACTAGTAGCTTAGTCGTGAACTTTTTAACTATGCATTGACAAAGAGGGAAAGTTTTTTCTCCTCTGTTAGGTCTTTTGTGTGCATATACTGTGTTAACCCGTAACCCCAATAACAACCAAGTGCTGAAGCCACTCAGAAATTTAAAAAGTTAAAAATTGCTTATCCATTTGAAAATTTCAACTACCAAGTGGCTAAAATGCTTTGCTTTATTATCTTTTTCCTACTGACAGACAAATTCATCAAGAAGCTGCTGTGAAGGAAAATCTTTAGCTAGAGTGCTTCAACTGTTGAATATATACAATATTTACCGCCCATTTAAAAGAGATGAAACTGAGTAAGTTCTAGTTCCTGATGATTGGCTCCCTATTGATAGGAAAGGTCTAGGTGAAATTGAAATAAATTGTTAGCTACATCCTGGATGATAGAGGGGCAAACAACCTCTTGTGGCCTAACAGCAACTGTTTATCAAAAGCAAAGAATCTTATAAGCTGAAATGATCTCTAAACTGTACTCCATAGTTTGACACAATTCAGTTAAATTTAAAAGGCCATTTCTAGCTCAATGATTTAACACGGGATGTCAAGAATCATTAGCATACTCCACTTCACTACTTGTGTGGAGATAATGTAGACATGTTTTGGACCATTGATTTGAAGGATATGTATTGTTTTAATAGTTCAGTATTTAACAATCCAGGGAGGCGTAAGTGCATAAACAACATAACCGATAATTTCTCAGGCCTTATTATGGTAATACAAGCCTCAGACAAAATGATTTTAAGAAAACTAGGCTAGCACCATATCCATACACGTATTGTATGGCATCTGTGTACAAAATCATTAAACACTCAGCATAATACAAGCTTAGCAACAGCAGATTAAACGTCCAGAGCTCAATTCTACCAACCTGGAGCCACTAAACTAGAAGTGGCAGTGTTTAACTTACACAATAAATCAAAATATTTAAAATCAATTTAGAGTCTCATCATAACAGAACCACAAATAAGAGGTCGCTTCAACCAGTATATATAAACATCCAAAGTCCAATCAAAGTACATAAATTGCATCCTTCACAGTTCACATGATAACTCAATACAACATGCAATATAATTCCTGCATTTCACTAAAAATTACCCTCGAACAAAAAATGGCATCCTTACAAAGAAACTTAAATCTCTATACTGAATTCCACGTTCCAAGGGGCGGTTTCGAACCAATATTTTTAGTACTAAATTCTAATCAGCTTCAAATCTGAGAGGTAAACCATCCACAGATTGAAGATAGATGCTTTATAGGAGATATAGAGCTTATCTCAGAAAGAGGGAGGGGGTGGAATTAATATAGTATAGATGTGCTATAGCCAACTCTAACCAATGAAAATATCTAATTCAATACCAGAACTCCTCATAAGTAATCTACAATGAAAAGATTAAACACACTACAAAGTGAATTATGTACCGATACTTCAATAGACGCTCAATATAACCAAGTATGCAAGCAATTCCTTTATGGATGCTAAATGTATTTTATCTATGCTTTCCTTATACAAGCTGGAGGATGCATAACTTGTAAAACAGAGCAAGAAAGTAAACCCATTAGCCAATTCCCTATCACTGATTGTATTTCAAGCTATTTACCCACGTTTATTATTGAAATTCTAGACACTAAAAAAAGGGTTTGCACAAATACCAAAATTAAAACAGACAAGTCAAGCATAATAAGGCACAAACTTCGCTATCAATCTAAGAATAAAGACAAGAGAACCAAGCTGAAATCCGCACTATCTTACAAGAAAAGTTATTAATTCATATTAGCGAAACGTATAAAAAAACAAAAAAAACCATGCTTTCTACCAAAAGCATTCAATAAAAGAACAATTTGGAAATTTTAGTAAAAAAACCATCGAAGTATTTAAAAATAGCAATGACCCATATTCTAAAACCAGCAGAATACCTTAACCCACCTTCCAATTTTCCATTTTTCCCCCATAAAAAAAATGAAGGTATAAAGAGTTACCTGAGAAATTAGAGCAAAGCAAAATCAGCTTCTGAAGAAGAAGAAAAGCGATTTTCTCTTCTACATGGCGACGTCCATGAAGGGCAAGTGGCAACTGAACAAGTAACAGTGAAACTCAAGTGTAGGGAAGGTGGAAACTCTTGTTTTCTTTCTCCATCTTCAACCAAGGTGCAAAATATATATACACAAGTTCGCGTTTCGGAGCAGAATACGACGTCGTGCGCCATGTTTTCAATTTTATTTTTTAACTATCCAAAATTAAAATTAGAATTTACTTTTGATCTATCGTGCTAGTGTAAAAAAATTAAATTACATTTGTATGATTTTATTTTTCTTTTTAGTTTATTTCGATGTAGAAAGATAAATATAAAGCAAAAAATACGTTTAAAATTCAAAGTGAAGATATGCCTATTAGTTAAAAGAGAATTTAAATTTTAAATTCAAAAGAAGATATATATATATATATATATATATATATATATATATATTATAGAAAACTAAGAGGATTTGAATATGTTGTTATATTTAATGAAATGGCTGATAGCCAATATATAGACAAGTCGGTTATACAGAATCAAGGAGGATCAACTAGAATAAAGTATACTGTTCAACAAACTATACATGGAATAATAACAAATTATTCTTGCTAAAAACTAGGACTTAGTTGCTAAAGGATAAGATCAAAGGTGATCTTCTCCTAACACGCCCCCTCAAGTTGGAGCATGAAGTGACGAAATGCCCAACTTGCTGCGAAGAAAACTGAATTGCTTCATGCCAAGCGGTTTGGTAAATATGTCTGCGAGTTGCTGATCTGTACGAACGTAGGTAGTAGTGATTGTATTGCTGAGAACATGATCGCGTACAAAATGACAATCAATCTCTATATGTTTGGTACGTTCGTGGAAAACTGGATTAGCAGCTATTTGCATGGCAGATTGGTTATCACAGTGCAACTGCATAGGGTGTGAATGTGGAACATCAAGCGAGTCCAGAAACGATTTGATCCATAACAACTCAGCTGTAGCTGCTGCCATTGAACGATACTCAGCTTCAGCGGAGGAGCGAGACACTGTGGGTTGCTTCTTTGTTTTCCAAGAGATAGGAGAAGTACCCAACATGATAAAATAACCAGTAACTGATCGACGGGTGAGTGGACAGCTAGCCCAATCCGAATCAGAATATCCACGAAGAAGAAGATCATTGTCGGATCGAAGGAGTAAACCTTGGCCAGGATCAGTTTTGATGTACCTTAAAACGCGGATGACAGCATCATATTGAGCAATAGTAGGATTTTGCATGAACTGGGAAAGAACATGGACGGAGTAACTTAACTCAGGTCTAGTAATTGTCAAGTAAACCAAACGTCCTATGAGTCTTCTGTAACGTGCGGGATCCGAGAATGGAGGACTTTCTGTAACTGCAAGCTTATGATTTGTTTCGAGAGGGAAGGCACATGGTTTGCACGCAAGGAGACCAGCGTCTTCCAATATGTCGAGAGCGTACTTTCGTTGGCTCAGAAAAAGACCTGATGGACCGTGAGCTATTTCGATGCCAAGAAAATATTTAAGAATCCCCAAATCCTTGATGTGAAAGCATGACTGGAGAAAGACCTTGACATCGGTGCATAAGGCATCATTGTCGCCCGTTAGAATAATGTCATCAACGTAGATAAGAAGAGCAACAAAGTGGCCATCTTTGTGTAAGGTGAATAAGGTGTAATCTGCCTTGGATTGGATGAAGCCATATGATTCAATGGAAGACCGCAACTTAGCAAACCAATTGCGAGGGGACTGCCGCAAACCGTAGAGAGATTTACGTAAGCGACATACTTGATGTGGTTTGTGATGATTGAAACCTTGTGGAACGCGCATGTAAACTTCTTCGGTAAGGTCTCCGTGTAGAAAGGCATTCGTAACATCCAACTGGTATAGGTGCCATGATTTGGCAGCAGCTACCGCAAGAAGTGTTCGGACACTCACCATTTTGGCTACAGGAGCATATGTATCGAAGTATTCTTCTCCAGCTATTTGATTGTTACCGGCAATGACCAACCGTGCTTTGAATCTCTCCACTGTACCATTTGAGTTGTACTTAATGCGGTATACCCACTTGCATGGAATGACACGTTTTCCTGGTGGCAAAGAAGTGAGTTCCCACGTGTGATTTTGTTCAAGGGCATCTATTTCTTTTCGCATTGCTACACGCCACCTTTCATCAGTTACAGCATCCTTGAATGTTTTTGGTTCAACACCAGAAGAAATGGCAGCAAGGAATTGTTGATGTTTGGGAGAGAATCTAGAACAAGAAACAAAGTTAGCAATAGGATAAGCCATACCTGAGGAAGGACTGGAAGAAGTAGAAGAAGCTAGTGGATTATGTGCGATGACTTTGGAGCATTCGAAATCTTGGAGATATGATGGAGGACGGCGAGAACGGTGACCACGTCCCAAAGGTGCAGATGGATGTGTGACTTCTGGGGGCTGTTCTTGTCGGATAGAAAGCTCATTGGAGACAGTAGGGGCAGATTCGGGCTGAGCCTGTTCAACAGGGAGAGTGTCTTCAATTAAAGGGACAGGGTTGGTAACAACTTGGGAATCAAAGGATGGGCTTTGTGGAGCAAGGGTTGGTTCGGGTGATATGGGGTTACGGGGGTTTGGGTCGTGAGGAATATCAGTGGTAGGAATGACTGTGGTTGGTGCAAAAGGAAAGGTGTTCTCTTCAAATACCACGTCTTTGGATACAAAAACAGTATGTGTTTCAAGATTATAAAGCCTCCAACCCTTTTTGCCAAAAGGATATCCCAGGAACAGACACCGAGTTGATCGAGCTGCAAACTTGTCCAACGGTTTGGGACGTGGATGAGCATGGCAAAGACATCCGAATATGCGAATATGATCATAGCTGGGTGTGCGGTTGAAAAGACATTCATATGGTGTCTTTCCTTGGAGAAGAGGAGTGGGGGTTCTATTGATTAAATGTACCGCAGTTAGAACACATTCACCCCAAAACTCGATAGGAAGACTAGCTTGAAAGCGTAATGCTCTTGCAACATTCAAAATATGTCTATGTTTCCGTTCAACACGACCATTCTGCTGTGGTGTGTCTACACATGATGTTTGATGTATAATTCCCATATCGGAATAAACCTTGCGGAGATTATGAGCACAAAATTCTGATCCATTGTCGGAGCGTATTATTTTGACCATGGTATTAAACTGATTACGTACCATGAGAAGAAATCGAGTTAAGTATTGGAACGTTTCAGACTTGGTGGTCATTAAATAAACCCAGACGTTTCTGCTATAATCATCCACAATTGTTAAAAAATATCTTGCACCGGTTAGAGAGGTAGTTTGATATGGACCCCAGATATCGCAGTGAATAAGATCAAAGCATGCAGTAGTTTTATTAATGCTAATAGGGAATACAGTACGAGTTTGTTGTGCGCGTAGGCAAATGTCACAAACTGAAGGAGAATGACCCCTATTTTTATTCACTGTAACAAAAGGAAGAAGGCTTAAAAACTGAAATGAAGGGTGACCCAATCGACGGTGCCAAACATCTGCATTCTGTTGAGTGTGAGCCGCACATGCAGTAGAGATGGATTTGTTGTTGGATGAGTCATGCACATAAACACCAGCTTGCAATCTACCCAGTCCAGTCTTGATCCTCGTTATGGGGTCCTGCAATTCACAGCCATTGTGAGTAAAAGAAATGATGCAATTTGTATCAGCAAGTAATTGAGCAACTGATATGAGGTTGCATTGTAATTTGGGAACATATAACACATTCTGAAGAGAAATATGAGATGTCAACTTGAGACTGCCACTGTGATTGGAAACAAGTTGATCACCATCAGGTAAACCTATTGTAGTGGGTGGAATAGATGTAACATTGGAGATTAAATGGAGGTTCCCTGTCATGTGTTGAGAAGCGCCACTATCCACCAACCAGGTAGAAGGCAGAGTGTGATTACCAGAAAGGGATGTAGTGTTAGCAGACGGTGTAGTGGAGGAAACAACCATGTTGGCAATTTGCTGTAGAAGCTCAGGACTTAGGTTGGGAATCGAGTTTTGGTTGGACACTATAGGTGTTGCAGCTGCTGTTTGTGATGCAGAAAAATTGAATGGGTTGGGACGCTTGTCATTAGCATTGATATTGACAGCGGAAGAATCTGAATCAGAATCAGCCATTGGGAAAGTGGATCGATACCTTCAAACTGATACCATATAGAAAACTAAGAGGATTTGAATATGTTGTTATATTTAATGAAATGGCTGATAGCCAATATATACACAAGTCAGTTATACAGAATCAAGGAGGATCAACTAGAATAAAGTATACTGTTCAACAAACTATACATGGAATAATAACAAACTATTCTTGCTAAAAACTAGGACTTAGTTGCTAAAGGATAAGATCAAAGGTGATCTTCTCCTAACATATATATTAAGTATGATATTTGTGACTCATTGAGAGGTAATTTAATCATAAATTAAACCACTTTTTTTTGTGTGAAATTAAACCACTTTTAAATACATGTTTTACACTATCTGGTTTCTTGATTTATTGGCTCATTTTGTCCCATGTATAGTATGATAAGTTATTTTAATGGATCTATAATGACAGGATAGAAAGTATCAAATTTTCTTTTTATTTTATGTACCCAGTAAGCTAACAAATTTTATAATGAGATAGTGATGAATCTTGACGGTAAATAAAAAAATAATAAAAAAATCTTTGGTGAATATCGATTAAAAAAATCCCATTAGTTTTAAAGGATTGAGCTTTGGTCTTAAGTTAACATGTTACCTATTATGAATATAATTATTGCATGTGCAAGTGTCATGACTCATAAGGAACGAACAAGGCAAATGGTTGGGTGGTTTTGCCAATAGGTTGAGTGTTTGTTCCTCTTTTAGAGCTAAGCTTTGGAATATCCTCAGGGGTTTAAAGGAAGTGTGAAATGCAGGCTTCCCTAAAATAATCTTAGAAAGTGATTCATTATCTGTAATCATTGTGTTCACCAAGTGTGGTGTAGCGGTCCTTGAGATAAATTTTTTATCTCGGAGACAAACTATGTGCGTCTTCAGCATACTCATATGGAAGGAAACAGGTGCACATACTGGTTAGCTAATTTCATCC